CCGCAATATTGACTTATCGCTTTCTTCTAGGCTACAAATTTCTTGCGCTACACGCTGCTGCGAATGGGATCAATTGCGCCCACTTTGCATACGTGCACTGTTTTCTCTTGTTTTCTTGGAATTTGATGGCACGAGCTGCTTCAGTCGCATCAATTAGGTTTGACCACCTCTCGTGGAAAGGTTGGCCATATCCATCGTCTTAATGCTAAGCGTACGAACGCGTAGGTGATGCCTTGTTGGTGAGGTTTGGAAGAATGAAGAACGACCAGGATGGCTCGAGTTGCCTTCCCAGGCACGTGTATGCAAATCCCAACAACCCATCGATTTGCGCAGTTTTAAGGTAAACATATAGTTCATGATGATTCTAATCTGTTTTTCAGCCTTGCAGTTTTGGTGTTTTCCAAGGGATCACAGCGTGACATCAAGTCCACGCTTGTTTTTGGGTCGAACGCGAAGGAACGATTCTCTGCTTGGGTCGTGCGAACGTGTGAGCAGCACAGGGACGTCATCATGGGCATGGGCCTGTCCATCAATGACGTTGGGACGCATTCGTTTCGCAAAGGAGTGTCAACAGCACTGTCGAACACCCCTGGTGGACCCGAAGCCGTTGCTGTGTGGTTGCGCGCTGGATGGAGTCTGGGCAGTGTTCAAAAGAGATACATATTTGCCGGTGCTGGTGGCGATCAACACGTCGGGCGCGCTGCAGCAGGTGTGTTCTTCTACATTTGTTCAGCAAACCTTCTTGAATATATGATCATCATAGGTTTGAACATGAATAGCATTGATTTTGCAGTCCTGCCACCCCACTTCGCTGGTTCGGTGCTGTCGGTCAGCGAATGGGAGGCTATTCTCCCCTGCTACCAATCGTTCTATCCATCAACGTTTCGCTGCGTGCTGCCCTTTTTGCTTGCGTCCATCGTTCACCACCACGCTTGGCTGCGGGATACGCTTCATGCATCCCACCCTTTGTTTGTGTCGCTGCTGTGGACGAGCGGAATTGTTCCGTCACTGTCGTCAAAAGTCCAATTGGGGTCCATGACGAACCATGCAACATCGATGTCGGCAACGGGAATCCCTCCACATGTGTCCCTTGGCGACAGGTTGTCCAAAGTTGAAGCTGGCCTGTCAAAGTTAACTTCGACGATCGACACAGGCCTAGCGTCTTTGGCAGAACAACTTTGTGCCAGCGTGGGTGCCTCCACGTTACCCTCACCCGCTTGTGGAATAAATTGGTCCCTCATCGACTATCGTGTTGACCAACGTTTGGAAGCAATTGTTCGTTCAGGTACTACCATCAGTCGAGCACCACTTCCTGACGATGCGACGATGGGCGCAGTGGACAGCGTCGACGCCTCTCAGACGTGGACGTGGGGCGGAAGATTCCACAATGTTCCTGAAGGTTTTTGCTTTCCAACTTGCAAGGTGAACGATTTGTAGAACTTGTGGTGGCTGGGAATTCCTGCACAAAAAACTGGACCCATCCGGCATTTGAGATCTTGGGATCTTGCCCGCGCCGAGGCGGGAAAGCTTTCCAAGGCGCGACAAGTAATTTCAACGCTCCTGACCTGCTCCACTCTCAGCACAGCCCACGTTGAGCGACGTCCAACGACTGAAATTCACCAACTTTTTCGTCCATGCTTTCTCAAGGCA